CCTGCTTCTGATCCTTTGCAGTTAAAAGTATTTCAGGTGTTACAGGGCACACTATTATCAACTGAATTTTTAATCTTGGAGAAGAAGAGTTACCCACTCAAATGGCAGTGTAAGCAATAAGGCATGGAAAAGTCAACACATTTTTCTTACTGATTTTTGGGTATTACTCAATTTTCTGATCTCTTTTTCTCTACACCCATTGTTTTCTAAACTGTTACTCATGTTTGAGTCCCTTTTCTGTAAGTTCAAGAAATGAAAGATGCTTTTCCCTCTAGAAGTTAAGTAAACTGCTGTGGCTCTGCCAATTGGTAGGGAATATATATCACTCTGTGTTACTCTTTTGGTGAAAAAGACTAATTTCATTAAAGTATTTGTAGTCTTCTGAGGCTGAATTTCCAATCTAGTGTCCACTTCATCTGTGGCAATCAATAGATGGAGATCTAATTACTTGCCAGGTTTTCCCAGGAGAAAGTTGTCCATGACTGAATGGCAGTGCGTGCTTGGTACAAAGCTCATGAGTCACAGGTTCTCAAGGCGGCCTCCTGAAACACACCTGAAGCTTAATTCTGTGTACCATGCATAGAAGGAAGTACTCACTGTGACTTCATTCATGCTTTTGGCATCCAAACGTTATTCCTGGTGATGAAAAATAATAGAATGAATAAGCAGCTAAAACACAGGAGAGAAGCATGAATTTAAGCTTGGGAGAAGCTGAGAACACCCTGATTCTCATCACTTCTGTATGCTGTGCCTATTCTAATCCTTATCCAGACTTCAATACTAGGGATTAAATAGTCAAACATTTTTAAATGTTCATCATTCAGAACTTCTAAAGTCAGCTTTTCAGAAGTGACCATTTTTGATTTGCATATATTTCCATGTTGGTAAGTTTTATGTTTATTTTAAAAAAGGAATAATTTCTGAAGAAAAAACAAGAGTTTTTTTTAAATCCCTAATATACAGTTGAAAAAACCCTGTTTATATCTATCTCTGAATGTAGTATAAAATAAGAGATAGAAAGTGGAGGAAACATGTCAAGAACAAAAAAGTGCACAGCAGTGTAGTGATAGGACAAGGGGCAACAGGCTCAAACTTAACAGGGGAAGTTTAGATTAGATATAAGGAAGAAGTTCTTCACTGTGAGGGTGGTAAGGCACTGGAACAGGGAGCCCAAAGAAGTGGTAAATGCTCCATCCCTGGCAGTGTTTAAGGCTGGGTTGGACAGAGACTTCAGTGACATGGTTTAGTGTGAGGTGTCCCTGCCCACGGTAGGGCGGTTGGAACTAGACAATCTTAAGGTCCTTTCCAACCCTAATTATTCTGTGATTCTATTCTTCAATGGCTGCAGGCTACCTTAGCTTGTACATAATTTTAGAAAGTACTGAGGACATATTTCACTTTCTTTGTCTTTAGTTTAGAAAATCAACCAGTTCTACTGAGCTACTACTTTTATTCTATTTAGGTAATAGAACATTTTTCTTGTATTTCCTCTGTTTTTCAGTGATAGAAACTTCATGCACTTTCTTTTTCTCTCATTTTGTTGCAAAACCTAAAAAAAAAAAGAAAAAAGTACTATTTTTAATAGTCATGTACACTGATGGCTGTCTGTTGACATCAAAGAACTTCAGTTAAATTTATATAAGTATACGTAAAAGCAAAGATCAGCTGGTTGGTGTTTTTTTCCAGTAGCCACTGGCTGCAGTGTCTGCAGGAAGCTACAAGTGTTTTTCCAGCTCCCCCTCGACTTCTACAAAATACAATTATTGAGCCTTCTTTCTGTCACGTTGTCCAGCAATGCCAGTTTCTTTATATGATACATCATTTGAATATTAGTGACCTCTGGAGAAGAGGGCAAAAAAGGTTTGGGGTTTTCTGGCTGATCAGATGTGGGCAGCTGGTGTAACCAGCGTTTGCAGGCTTCTCACCAGGAAAGCAATGTGTTTGCTTGCCATGCGGTTCTTCAGAGAGCTGGTTTCCTTAAAGAAGTTGTGGGTGGCATGAGGTTGGTCAGAGAGCAGACATTTGTTTGACCTTTTAGTAACAAGTCCTTGCATTAAGAGAAAAACCCAGCATATTTTATTTCTTAAATTGCCGCGAATGGAGTGAGAAGCTAGCAAACTGGGTCCAACAGACGTCCTGCAGGTTTTGGAGCCATCTGGATCTTGATGTGTAGGACTGCAGCTGAACAAATAGTGTAAACCTAACAGCACATAGCTGATTGATTGCGATTAATACTGAAAATGATGTACTGTCTCGCTTTGGTTTTTAAAGTGTGGTCAGTCAACATTCAGAAATTTACATTAATTATGTCAATATTTTGGGGAAAAGTGATATATGTGAACACTTTACTACCACCAGTCACACTCTGTAGCTATTCAGGATGAGTTTTGGCTTCCTTTGTATTCCCTGGGAAACAATGATTAAACTAACATTCATATGTTAGGGTTTTGTTGGTTTTGGAGTGATGAAATTATATATTTCAAACTTTTTGTTATATGATTAGAGACACATGAAATGGAAAAGTGTTTCTTGAAGAGCTCTGTCTTCACATCCTCTAGAAATTGAGGGTTTTTTATATTATATTTGTTTTCATATTCCCTAACCTACCTTCCTGCTCCCTTCGTGTGGTGGAAATGGGGAACTCTTCTTCAGCTTCATGACAGTTCTGGTAATAACTATTGCTTCTTTTTACTCTTCACTGTCTTTGATACAGTTGTTTATTAAAATATGCAGAGTTGTTTATTTGTTTTTTTTTCTGGGCATAATATTTTATAGAATTTTAAAACTTTATGTCCCCAAAATATCAAACCAGACTAGATATATTGAAAGGAGTAAACTCATTGACTGAAACTCAACCAGGAAACTCTTATAATTTTAACTAACAGTTAGTTTAGAATGAAATGATGCCATGTATTGTTAATGTGCTCTGGTAAATGAAATTAGAGACATGTTCAGAGTTGAAATCCCACCCTGTCTCATCTTGTTATGCATTAGACGGTAGATACTGTATGAAAAGCCCTGAGATCACTGTTCCAGTGCTGTGTTTGATGAAGGCTGCCTGCCTAGGTATCCTTATCACGTCATGATCTCTTGGGAATATCTTAAAAGTGAAAAAGCAAACAGCCCCACAACAGCACGTCACTGTTTTCCTTGGCACCCTTTGGCCGTGAGCCTTTAAGTGAATAAATGAGAAGTAAAATGAACGAATCATGAAAGTCAGTGTATGAGCTGAGTTAAACCTACCAGGGACCTGAAGTTTATGCAAAGCAGAAACTCGTAGTTAAGGGCAAGAAGAAGGGGAGCATGGAGTGGCTTGATCCAACGTAACAATGCTTGGTTGGGGCACCATTGCCTGTTCTTAAGTTTATTTAAGCTCTCTATGCGTGGGGAAAGCAAGTAAACAGCAGGAGCGATAGACAATCTCTTAGATAAACAGCATTTCTGCAGGACCAAGACACTGATGGCTGCCGTCGCCGTCTCTAGCTTTAAATGGCGAGGAGCTCCCGGGGTGACTCAGGGCAGGCGGCAGCTGCCGGCGGCACCGCGCCGCTGGGCCAGGGCCTGGACTCTGTGTGCCGGGGCGGTGGCGGTGGGCCGTGGCGGGGAGGAGGAGGAGGAGGAGGAGGAATGCTGCCTCCCTGACGTCAGGAGCTGCTCCTGGGAATGTTTTGCATTCCTCTTCCTGGCAGTGGTCAGGTGGCTTCCAGCAAGAAGGAAGGAACAGCCGCTTCCAAATGGAAAAAAAAACCTAAAATGAGAAAAAAAAAAAAGGGGGGGGGGGGCTCAGGGCGGAAAAGAACACTTTATAATAAAAGTATTGTGGGGGAGGCACTTTTATTAAAAGCCAGATTGGGAATTGGAACCAGATGTTCTGCATTCGAAAGCTGCACGAATGTTAAATGCGTTTATTAATGACTGTGATGGCTGAGGTATTTGGCTATCTGCCTTGCTTTAATCTCAGTACTCCGTATTTAAAAACAGTTGAGAAAAACATAGTTTTTTTTCTTTGTACTCAACTTTAGGCAGCTTCCTTTATATGAATGTTAATTAAAAAGTGAGAAAAAAGGAAACATAGCCACATATATGAGAGCAAGAAACAAGCAGGGAAACAGTTAACATTGGTCTTGTTCTTCTGCTAGTTTTAACATATGTTTTGTGCTGGAAATTAATGTCTTTATACTCAGTTTCCTTCTTGATTTGTGGTTGTTGGATAATGCATGTGATGTAAGCCAAAGAGGTCAGAACATGCAATTACTCTTGTTCACAAAGTACTTCCTATTCCCTTTCTCCCTCTCCTTAATGCCCTGTCAAAGTGTGTGTTTAAAGCAAAACAAGAGTAGATGCTCAGTTTCCAAAGCAGTTTGTCTACCTTGGTGCTTGTACGCATTTGGGAGTCTCAAGCATCGAGAACTTCCATGAAGGTTTGTGCCTCAGTGGGGATGAGATACCTGACAACACCATAACCTGTACAGATGCAGGCAGATTTGGGGCATCTTCAAGACATCTTTGTGTCCTTCTCCGACCACTACGCTCTGTGGTTTTCAGGTTGTAAGATTTTCTGTGTAAAGCATGGACTGCTAGAGGGAGAGAGGACCTGGCATCACATCTCCCTTCCACTCCCAAGCCTGGTGATGCCTTAAACCTGTAGCTTCTTCATCAGCTTAAAAGGGGAAGGCAATCACTTTCTTTGTATCCTCTCCTTAGCTGGTGGGCAAGGGTCTGTGTTGTAAAAGTTCAGGTATCTTCAGGCAGGGCACAGGTCCTGTCAGGGGCTGATGGAGCAGAGGTTTCTCTTGATTTGGGCTGGGACAGCCTGTACAATTTAAACTGTGCCATAGAGACTCACCAGTGCCCTAGGCCACTGTGTTGCTTGGTTTGATTATTTTTTTAATGTAATTAATCTTACACGTTCCTATTGATTGTCACTGCACGCAGTTGGGGTTAGCTGAGCCTGTTCCCGGGGCAGTGTTCTATGGAAGCTGGTGGGACAGGGAGCACTGGGCAGTTTGGGTGCTGTTCTCTTGAGCAGTGTCCCCAGCTCAGGTGAGGCCCATGACTGCCGGCCTGTTTCCGGGTACCGACCGAAGTGGACAGGCAGCTTCCTGCTACAGGGTGGATGCTTTGCAGAGGAATTTCCAGAAATGCTGAGAAGTGCTGACTCACAGCTTACGGCCTGTCTGGGCTGAGGGGAGGTTTTCACGTCCTTGGCTGAAGCCAGCAAAAAATGTTGCTGTAATGTACTGTTTTATTTTTAGCAGGGGGAGGCTGTGTTGCTCAGGATGAGAAGCTTGCAAGCGGTTTCAAGATGACAGGCGCTTTTAAGGGTTTGTTTTTTTTTTCCTTTTCTATTTTTAGAACTTGGAAAACAGGTTGTTTTGCTAAAATACAGACGCTTCTCTGTTTCCCCACTAAATGGGTTGTTGTAAAGGAGCCTTAAGGAGTTCGTGCAGGAAGGCTTTTACCGCCCCTGCAGGTCAGAATGTCCTTCAGGGGAGGAGATACTGAAGTATTTGAGATTGAAACTCAGCTGGCACCTACTTGCGCGGTATTTCTCACTTCTGCTGAGGTGGGACTGCAGCTGCAATTGTTGGAGCTGAAATGTGGCCAGGTATTTGATGGCTGCTATTACGAGATCATTGTAAAAGCTGGGTGCTTGGGTTTCGTCCTCCCTTGGTTTTAGCAGTCACTTCTCGAGTAATTGGCCCTGCTTTTTTCTTTCTGAACAGCAAATGCCCTATGGTGTTTTCTGCTAGTGTTAGCCAGAAACTAGAGGGAGGGAGGAGTCATTTCGAGCAGTGTCACCTCTCAAACTACAATTTTGGTGATCAGGTTATAGGGGCAAAGGTGTTTTTTTTGTTGTTGTTGTTTTGTTTCACGTTCTGTACATATTTTTTTTAATGTATCCATGTATGTCTATGTTTTTTTTTCTGTTCAACAAGCACTGAGTATTTGGGGATGATCTCCCAAGTATGAGCTGTCCCACAGAGTATCATAAATGGAATACAAGTGTGTAAAAACTCTTCTAAGTTCTAAAAAGTGGTATCAGCTCTTCTTCATTTGCAGCTCTGTATCTCTGCATATAGAGCTGTTTGGAGCCGTTTTTGACATCTTCCTGGTGGTCTGTGTAACAATGAATGGTCTGCAGACTACTAACCACAATGCCATTATTTTTTTAACCTGTAGCATAAACTAGCACATTTTGCACACAGCCCCACCACCACCACCAAAGCAAAACAAAATTCAAACCCAAAACTCACACCTCTTATAGCAACCGTGCAGCATCTGGCTTGAGAATAATTGGTGCACAGCTTCCCTGACAAAGTACATTTCCCTCTTGTAGGTGGATCATGTTTAACTGCTCTCCTCAGTTTTTTCCTTGGGACTGATTTGATGTTACGTGTCCAGCAGGGTCCTCATTCGGCAACAGGAAAGAAAGAAAGGATAATTCTGTGCAGGAAGTGCAGGAGCGTGTTGCCATGATGTGCGGTGAGCTCATTTATCAGTTCACTACTGTGAAAAAGTCCCAGTCTTAGTTATTTGAATAGCAATACAGTCCTTGCATGTGAGCTGCTGGTGCTGATTTTTGCAGGCAGAAATAATTGTGGGCCGCACGTCTATCGCAATTTCCCCATCAAATCCACTTTTACTAATGACTTCAACCTTGCCAGCTATTCATCTCCAAGAGAAAGCTGTTCTACCCATATCTGTCAGTTCCCTCCAAGGTTTTACAGCAGCTGCATAATCTCTTCTAAGAGTTGCATAAGCATCTTTTTTTGGTTGTGTCCTGGCACCCAGAACTATACCAGGAAAAGTTATATAGGCCTTACATTATTTCTAGCCACCTGTCAGTAAATTCAGGACAAGAGCCATGAACTAATGTCCCCTTTAGATAGATGTGTCATCCGACCTGGGTGGACATGCCTCAACTAGACTGCCTGACTCTGGATAACCCCTTCTGTGATCCGCTGCTGCTTGATCCTTTTCTAGTTTGGGTGAGGCACAGAACATACTTTTTTTGTGAAGATTCTGTCCCCAGCTTCTAAAAAGAAATAAAATCATGCATGAATGTTGTCCAGCTTTCCAGGAAACATGTTGGTACGACATGTATCAGTGTAGTCAGAACATCTACTCATTTTACGGTCAGCTTTTTTGTAATTGAATCTGCCCTAGTAAAATCCAGCAGTCCTTTCTAGTAATATCATACTTCACAGTCTGGTTCCTGTGTTTAATGCAGACATGCCCTGCAAAGAGCTTTCTGCTTGTGCTAGTATAAGCTTGTACCTTCTCAGATATCTCGGTCTCCTTGTGCTACCTGTTCTTGCATAGCTTTCTGATCTCTCCACTATTTGATACACTTTGTTGCTAGCTGCACTACAGTCTTGGTATCTGTGTGAAGTCTCAGCAGTTCATGTTGATGCTTCAGTTGTCATACTACTTTCTGTTACCGTGTCATTGTCTTAAATAATTTTTACTTTTGATCTTGAGGAATTTCCTACACCCTTCTTGTACTTTCACTTAAGGTCATCATTACAGCCTATTTCTTTGTGCCCAAAAAGAATGATAAATCCAGATTAATGGTAAACCTTTAATGGTAATTAATGGTAAACTGAGTAGTCAGCTGCTTTATCGTTATCATCACTTACACGATAGCGTTATCATTAATTGTTTATTGCTCTGTTTGTCCACAGCAGTCTTGCTGGTTTTCAGAACAACTCAGTTCAAAAACTGCACTGCATATTACTTCATGCTCTGCTGGGAATGGTGGATCATACATTGATTTTTATGTAAAGGTGAGATTATGGTTGCAAAAAAATAAGGCATTTTTAAAATTAGTAGTCAGAATTTGAGTGTCCTAAGTAGTGCAGTTAAGCCAATCCAATTGTTTTAGTAAAGGTTAGAGGAATCTTTTGTGAGAAATTTTAAAGAATATGCACAGTAGGCACATGTGTGTGTGTGACTGGATATATGAATGGTAAATTTCAAGAATGTAGGCTGATACCTATAGACAGTTTGAAGCCATGAATAGAAATAAGTCACATTTTGTTTAAACCAATAAATAATCCAGAGAGAGTAAGGATAGAAAGATGGAACAGGCAGTTAAGGAAAAAAATAGCTTACCATTATTTTGTGAGGATCTCCCAGCTTTGTCTCAATTCTAGTAAGCCTCTTCAGTCATCTTTTCAGTTCTCCTGTTTTTAAGTCTTCTCTTTCAGTTTTAATCTTTTGCTTTGATTTTCTTTTGTTTACCTTCATGATTCCATGGTGTCATAAAGGTTAGAAGCTGGATGGCCAACTATCATTTAAAACTTAAACTAAGTGAAGGTTTGCCTCTTCTGAGTCGAATGTGATGTCAGTCTTCTTCAGGATTCCCAGGTATCTCTTGTGGCCCCAGTAATCAGTATGTCAAAAAATAAATACATTTACAGCTGTTGAGAAGACTCGTGCTAACATTGCTGGACGTAGGCTGGTAGGCATTCATTATTAACACATATTCACACTGAGAATCTTGTGGACCGTGGAGTCTTCAGTGCATACCAAAATTTGATCATCCATGTGCCTGACACTACTGGGTACTGTTAACATCGTAGTTTGGTGATTTCCTTCTTGTGCCATTAATTCCAGAGTGTGTTTCAAAATGTCTGTGTTGATCTATAGCAGGGAAAATTTGTCTGTCTTTCTGTCTTCCACAGTAATACATCCTTCTAAATAATGAAGCTGTCAAAGGATGCAGGTGGGATCGTGTCTATATAGAAAAACTTGCCAAGGAACATGAATGTGGTTTTGACACAGACATGTCTGTACTAGCAAGTGATGTGATGTGGTAGGAGCAGCTCTGTGGAGTAAAAGTTGGTGTGGGAGATTTGGTCCTGCTATATGCATTGTGAAGTTTTACTCAAGACAGGCTGCTGGTTGGTCATGGTGCGCTGAATGCCTTGTAACAGTTGGAGTGCATCTTCAGATTTAGTTCCATCCAGAAAGAATCCATTTTGTCCCACAAAGGCGGTCCCACAGTCCAGACTGAAGCACAGGGAAGATTCAGAAGCACACCACTGATCTGAACTGCAGGACTGTTGTGGACACACCCAGGGATGACCAGACATCAGACCAATCCATCTTTCTTGCTTTGGCTTGCTCTGAGAATTCCTATTGTCATACATATACACAGATGCTTAGTTGTAAACAGATAAAACCCAGACAACAAGCTGATTTTTTAACTAAGAAGAAGAAGGGCAAAGGAAAAGAAAAAAAGTATGTTCAGCTTTTAATACCTGGGTGTTGTTCAGTCTTCTGATGGTGGCTGTGTAGTCATCATTGCAACTGAAAAAATTCTGGCACTTCTTCCAGTGCATCCTTTCTCTCTTGGAGTCTCTAAAACTGTGCTGAGATACTAATATTGTTCTCTTGTAGCTGGTATGTATTAACTTGAAAAGAGGTAAGTTTTCATTCCCATGGTTACCCTGGAAATCTTTGACAACATGTGCTGTACCACATATTTGATACCGCAGCAAACAGATACTTGGAATTGGGGAAAACCAGTCTTAAAACACTGAACTTGTTATGGAGGAACAAGTTCAGAGCTTGGCATGACATGGACACCTATAAAAAACTTGTGTATATTAGCTAAAGAATGTAAGATGGTAATCCTTTACACTGTTAATGTAAATAAAGAATTTCTGATTCTTCCAGGCTTAATTTTGTTGAAGTGATAGAATACAGGTATCACCTAGATAGAATAATGTGCACACACCACAGCAATTGCAGACTCTTGATCTCCCCATCATCCAGCTCAGCTGCTGAGGTTTCCTTCCAGCAAAAGTAAGCAGGCTTATGTGGACTTCTGCTTTGTTTCTCTACAGAGTAGATTAGAAGTGGGAAGTATAAGCCCTCCAGAGCAATGGGTCACTCAGACCCAGTCAGTTTTGGGCATCTTTTAACAGCTTGGCACACTGTTACAACTTGCTCTTCTGAATAGAAGCTGCAAATGGTGAACTTGCAGTAGCAGGTTTTTATAAACATTTATTGTACAGAAGTGAAAAACTGAGCAGTCAATATGTATGTCAATGTATAATTGCCTGGAGACAGGATTTCAGTAAGCGTAGGTAATAAAAACTGGGCTGAGAAAACAGTTGGTGTACCGTACGGAAGGGATAGTTGCTTTATGAATTTTTCCTTTTCCTGTTTTCCTCTTTCCACAGAGAATACGCATTGCGTTGAGGACAGAGAAACAGAAAGTCTTGGCAACTTCTACTGTGCCAGAGACTTTGTTCTGCTCAGTGAGGAGGGGTGCAGCTCCCAAGAAAGATGTCAAATACAGTAATTAATGTTCTCCCTTTGTGTGATGGATACCATCTGTATTTAGAAACATCTGAGCTTGCGCTTGAATACAAGTCACGTAGCATTTTTATTGGTATAGTGAAGAACTTGAGTATCTTTATTCATGATACTTGAGGCTTTGCTCCCAGACATAGTTTAGAAATGCATGACATTCCTTTTACGTTTCGAAGTGAAAAGTGAGCCAGGGTGAGCAGGAAGGACATTCCGTAGCTCGGTGAATCTTTTAGCAGTTTTTCATTGTGTCATATTTGTTTTTATAGAAGCAACTTCAAACTAGGGCAATAGGAGCAGCAAATTAGTTTTTGCCTCATATAAAAGCAAACATGATCAGCATCTGCTCATCCGCCAGGGATATTCATGGAGTCAATTATAATCAGGATATACAACTTTCCTCTTTTGACAGCCTTCACTAAGACTGGTCAAAATACAGTGTCTTCAAAACAATGTTTTTAGTTTTTCTTCCTTCTTAGCTTCCCCTGTTTCCCTAGCAGTGAAACGCCAGTGACCTTATCTGAAATAATCTGTGTTTGTATCCATGTCTCTTACATCTGGGATGTGGCTCCAGTAATTCTGCAATGTAGCAAGTTACTTGCTATCGTAGTCATGTAATATCTTTTCCTTTTTCTTTATTCCCTTTGTTTCAGAATATAAACATCAGCAATTATCTTCATTAATCCTCTTTCTGTTGTACATCTCCTCTTTCCCTCTCCCTGTTTTTGAGGAAAAGTAGTAAAAGGCAAGTTCATTGTTTTCCAGCTAAGGTCTGCTAGTTTCTATGAGGAAGAATGTCCTTTTTGTCTTAAACATGCTTGTTTTGTGTTGTCTTAATCTGCTTGGAAGGAATTGCTGTCTAAATCAATACACCTGTTCTGTAACCTACCTGAACAGATAAAAAAGTGGCCTGGAAGAAAGGTTTGGGGCAATAATTGCAAATTTCTTGACAACATAACATTGCCAAATGGGAAATTCCATGGTCCAGCAAATATATGCAAAAATCATTAAGATACTGTAAATCTGATTTTGAAGTCAAGAAAAGAGATGCCAGTTAGGCTGGAAACCTAACTGTGCCAGCACTGGGTTAGAGTTTTCTCCTGAAGCAAACCTAAATTTAAGAGAGTGCATGTAACCTCAGCTGTGCCAAAGCCCTCCCAAGTTCACAGTTTGTCCAGGGACAGAGGAGGATCGTATGCCATGATCAAATGCTACCACCTTGTCATGGTAGTCTGTGTCATACAGCTGGACATACGCCAGTCACATGGTCAAAATTTCATCCCCTTCTCTGCTGGCTCTTGACCTGGCACACACTTGAATGTCTTGTAGTATAAGGAAGGAGCATAATCAAAGAATACTAGATAAGGAAACCAGACTTTGTATTCAAAATACTCTTTACATTCTGGATTTCATTTGGCTTATGCCACAGGCTTCTCATAAAACCTCCAGCAAGTTATTTGTTGTGAGCCTTGATTTTGCATATAAGAAAATGAAAATAACAGTGCTTCTCAGTTTCACTGCATTATTAGTAAATAAAGTTAGTGTTATTGAAATGCTGGCCTACTGGGTTTGAGAGAGGGCCAGAAAAGAGGAGAGGGAGAGGGAATTCCCTTTTCTTAGGGAGTTTGGATAAGTGATGCCAGAGACTGCTGTAGTTCCCAGGAGCAGCAACGCATTAAGAGAGACTTAAAGATGCTGCCTGGCTACCTCTTTATGAGCTCTGAATCTTGTGCTTCTCTTTAGAGGCATGTGCACACTCACCTTTAGGATGTATTTGCTCATATGAAATGTGAGAATATATAAATATTATTAGATGTATTATAAATGTACCTAAGATTATTTACTGACAATTAGCCAGAGAAATTCACTCTGAATTTGAGAGGAAAGAGGAGAACTTCTGCTCAGACCAAGTATTTTGTTTGTGTTGTAAGCAGCTACAGAAAGACTAAGGGAAGAGTTGGTGGAACATCAAGAAATTTGAAATGTAGTATGTATGGTCTTGTCAAATGGGGTACCTTTTAAAGCAATGAATATATTGTGAACTTTGAGACATTTTTGTGTATAAATACATGTTTTACTGTCTAATGCTGCATTAATTTTCCTTATTATTTTCTGAGTATGTGTCATTAACCATGTTTTTACCAAAGTCTTCAATGTAAAAGCCAAATATTTAAGACCATGTACCATTCAGAATGTTAGCACATAAAGTCATCATAAACCAAACCAAAATAGCACTTAACAATTTTGGAAGCTTCTCTATCAAGAAAACTTCTCTTGTGGGAGAATAGTTTTAATAGCCAGGTATGAAAAGTGAATAAGGGGATTGCCGACCCTTGGTTTTGAGCTAGGTTTCCTGTTAAAGTGGTGGTGGAAAATGTTCTTCCCGGAGGAGGATGTATGCTGTTCAGCTGTGTTTGCCTCAAAAAGCTGAATCCAGTCATTGTGTCTGTATCTTGGATTCTTTCCCACTATGAAAGTACAGAGCAAACTCCTGCCTGCTACTCCCTGTGAGCTCGATGTCCTTATTAAAGATCAGGGAAAAGGAAGGGGAAAACCCAGGGAGGTGAGTGAGTTCATTTGCATATGGTGCCAGGGCCAGCACATGGTTCAACACGTGATGCAACAGTGATCCTTTTTGGTGAACTTGTAAAGCATTTTGAAATGCAGAGGTGCAAGACTGCAAGTTCTTATTCACAAGCAAGAGTGAAAGTGCTGTGTAACTTAATTACATAACATAAATTATAACATGTTTTGCATTAAAGAGAGAGCTATGACAATATTTGATGCTTGTGGTTTTGTTCCTGTTCTTGTTATTACTATTAATGCTGGCAGTATTTGATACATATTACCATTCCTTTCTTAAAGGTCTTACAGTCTATTTGATGTCTCAGCTTCATGGAATTGGCAATGAGAAACACCTAAGATGAGCACATCGATGTTCATTTTGTGCTATGACATCTGGCTGGGTGCTTTTTTTTCCCTTTGAAACTGGATTCTTTTATGGTCCTGTTTAACTCCATTCCTGAGCAAGAGCCCTGACTGCTGCCAGGAGGTGGGATATGTGTTCTTGCCATTTTGCCCATGTTGTCACACCCTTCTGGAAGCAGTTTCCACTCACCAGCTTTGCACCAGTGTTTTCCTGGGTTGGTGAACTGAACCAGCTCACAAGTGGGAAACAAGTCTAGGCCTTTGCTCCGCTTTTTAGGGTTAACCAGCCCTTAGATACACTTCGTGAATCATCAAGCTTTATGCTTTTGTCTACACTAAGAAGCTTTTTCTGGGTGCAGAAGAGGTTCAAGAAAACATTTGTGTCTTCTTTTCTAAATTTACTTACATCCTTTTGACTGAAAGCTGACTGTAACCTTTTACAACTTGGTGACACACAGTAGGTGGAGGACTAACATCTTAACCTGGCTTAACATCGCCCAAGCCAAAAAAGAAGGCCTTGTTATAAAATACATTGTTTAGTAGTATAGTGACATATATTTACAAAGACCTGTAGTGCGCCCTGTTTAAGAATAAATTGCATTAGAATAATAAGCATATCGATATAACTGTCTGTATAGTTAAATACAACATTGGTAACTGAACTGGTAAAGGCAAAGAAGTGCAAGTTCATGTTGACAGACTGAAAGTCATGCATGAACACAGGCCCTTATTCAAGTATATTGAGCCTCAATACAGTCTAGCACTTGTTCATGCACTCAGATCCTAGAAAGTCCATAGTGGGTTTGAAGGACTTCAGGAGAAAGACATGACTTTTGTTTGGGTTGATGGACAATGGAGCTGAGAGGAGAGAAGCAGCAGTATGACACATGATGGGAAAAAGTTTCCATAAACAAGTGTGGTGAAGTGAGGTAGTTCCTAACTTTTCTGTCCTCATGATTTTTTATGTTCAAGGATACCTTCAGGGGATATACGTCAATGAAGTGATTGTTTCTGGGTAAGAATTCTTGCTAGTTTCCTGAACAAAAATGAATATCCAGGACTTGCATGGCTGCATAGAACCATTTTACTGTCTGGTGTACTCTACTCTCTGTTTGTTCACATGTTTTTGGTGGTTCTCTACATGCACAGCTAATTTTCAGTATCAGTTCTTTTCCAATTTGGAGCATACATAAGAGGCAGAAAGGGTAAAAATTCGAAGTAAATGAAGTCTATTCTCTTCTTCACATGTTTTTAGTTACCTTGAAGGCTGATTGACTTTATGCATGTATCTCCTGGGACTTTTCAAAGAGCTGTGAGACGTCTCTCTGCTTGGACTCAACTGAAAACATGAGATGTGTTTATTATGATGTCAGTGTTTCTTAAAGGGCAGGGCACTGGTTTAATTTATGACTCAGCACTCTAGTTACTAGACTCTAGGTAAAATGGGGACTGTAAATAATTTTCACCACTGTTTCTTAATTTAGAAGTAATGTGTTCCTTCTGCACAAAAATTTACTTGTTTTCTGCCAAAGTGTTAAAATTTCAGTAACGAAATTATAAATTTTTCCACTTTTCAACAACTAAGTAAAGAAGAAAGGAATTTAGTCACCACTTGTTTTTCCTTGTGGCCATATACTTTTAAATAAGTGATTTAGGAGGTTGTATTCCAACCAATGGATTTTGTTTCTGGTTGTTGGAAAGATGAATTTTTATCTTGTTTGGGAAATGGTATCTGAGTTTAAGCAGAAGTAAAAGTGTATCACTAAGATTTAGAGGGAATCTTGGAATTTTTGTTTGTTTTATGGTTACCATTAAAGCAAAACATCCTCACATTTCTGGGAATCTTGCATGATCAAGGATTATAACACTGAGACCATGTTTATATTAGTTTTTCATTGAAATTGTTAAAAGTGATTACTTATCTGTTGTATGATTGAAGTTCCTGTTGCCTGCTACCAACCAAGCACATGCCTAGCAATTTTTGTTCTTGCTGTAGTTTTTACCATTACTGTGAAAGGAGCTCCTTTCCTTAAGATCTTTGTTTTCAACTAAGAAGTTCAAAGCTGGTGGCTGGATGACAGTGAAATGAAGAAATAGCTTTAAACTATTGTAGTTGACCCAATTCCAAGTAAAGATAAACCTTTCTGATTTACAAAGTGTTGCATTATAGCTTGGTCTGCTCTCTGAGGGGTTTTGCCTGAAAAAAAATGTGAAGGCTTGCTTTTACGTAAAAAAGCTTAGAAACAACAGCTGTCAAAGCTTGCTTTGGCTATGTGTGGTTTTGGCATGGGCAAATAAACTTTCTGTTGAGGGGAAAAAAAGAAACTGAAAGCTTTACCAGCTTTAGCAATCCCTAATCCAGGGCTAGTATGTGCCAACCTCAGCAGCGTCAAGAGTGCTTGCTCAGAGAGAGGTGGGGGTTTGCCCAGGCCTGATGCTTCTGTCAGACATTTTTGGGAAGCCAGGTTCTTCATTTCCAGAACAGAAACCCCTCTTGCAACAAACACTTTCTTACTCTCCCTTGAAAACTTGGACTCTGTAATAGGGGCATGCTGTGTTGTTTGTGAGGTATGCAACGCTTCATTCGTTCTTCCAACTCAAAGACTGCTTGAGAAAAAGCTGTCCATGTATCTTTTCTGCAAGGCTTAAAGCATCTTTACATGTAGTAAGTCCCTCTGCTAGGAAACTGATGAAAAGGTTTGTCCAATGAACTGTCAATAGCCTAAACTGAAACATTCGCCATATGAAGTTACTCAAATGATTTCAATGTTCTGTGTTTTTTTCTCATATTACTGAGGGAGGGATTGGGTTTTTACCCCTGATCCAAAAGGACACCAAATGCTACTAGAGGCGTAAGGCTCATAGTGATAACTGTGTGCTCTCAGACCTTTAGAAAAACCCAAAAAGTAAGGCATTTTTAAGTGCAAATATTTTGTATGTCTCACTGCCACATACTGGATCTTGAGTCATTGTGTTATCATGAATATCATGTTAAACCTGTGAGTGAAAGCTTAGAAGGATAAATGACCATACTTGTATGTGTGGTAACTAGTGGAAATATGTATATATCTATCCCCACATATTCAGTGATCACTGTATATGAACTTCATGACGACAATGTAAGTTATATTATTGCAACTTTGAATATAAAGTGTCAGTATTTGTCTTGCACCCTTTACTCTGCTGTTTCCACTGGAGCTGAGTGATTGACTGCCTTTGGCCTGATTGTATGTTTGAGGAGCAATCTGAAGCTTGCTCTGTTTTCCTTTCAACTTCTCCTTTGGGCTGCCACATGCCTTTCTGCTTTATTTATTGCTCACTTGTTTGATTAGATTGAGGAAGGATTAAGGGATCCAGTACCCTTAACAAAAGGCAACCCTTCATTTATTAATGTGTAAATATAATGTAATTACTTCTTAATTCCTTGTGTTAAATAATAAAGGGAATTCTTCAGCAGATAAACCCTGACAGGTTTTTTGAAAATCAAATGGAGACAATTTGCTGATTCAGAGATGTGTATGCCAAAGATAAGTATCCCTCACAATGCTTAGGTTTTAGTTGATATGAAGAACTTCAGCTACTTTGATGCCCTTGTGATCCAGATAATACACATTGTCAGTCCACACTAATTTCTAACCATTTCTCACTTCCCATAATGAAAGGAGGTTTCGTCTCAGACAATTTAGGATTTACCATTAACTGTTAATTCAGCTCTTTTTATATTAGCAGTAGTAAATGATATAATAAGAAGAGGATTCAGCTTTTATTCAGAAAAAAAAATGTTTAAAAGCCTTAGCATGCATTTTTCTTCTATCTCTATCATTAGCAGATCTGTAGTAGAGGTAGTTCTGGGTAAAGAATCATCATAAAAGCTGGTTGGGGAAGAGGGGAAGGTAATTTCCTGTCTGTAAGCTCAGCTGGTATCCTTGCATTTGGTTTGTTGGGTTTTTTTTTGTTTCACAAATTAAAAGAACAATTTTTAAAACAAGAGAGTAAATGGGATTCTGTTAGACACTGAGGTAACAAACTGTGTGCATGTGCGTGTAGTCTGTTCTGTAGGTGATTT